CACACCACAAATGACAAACCCATCAAATTAAAAGACAATCAAACAAGACAATCAAAGCACAGCTGTCTTGGGGATGCTTGCGACATCTTAATATCATTAAAAACAACCAAAAACATGCTCAATATTCAGGTGATGAAAGAATAAAGAATTAAACTTTAAAATATGATCTCTATATGAACTGTAAATATATATGCATGATACATTTTAGCAGGAGGCACTGACTACAAAACACAGCCTCTACAAAATTTCCCTAGAGGTGTTTTAGTGAATTGGCAGATGTACCTGAAAAGAACTGGACGATTTCTTCTTTACTGCAACCGAACGGCAATCCTCTCAGACGTAACATGCAGCCACTGCTGCCGTCATAATCTGTGGGACCTGAACGTTTCAGCACCCAGTCCATCTCACTACGGTTTGACCTGAACACTAGAGAAAAAAGGCAAGCAATCGATAAATAAAGTCTAGTCTATTGTGTGACATACACTACATTAGGTACACCTGTTCAACTGCTTGATAACCCAAAGATCTGATCAGTCAACTCAATGCATTTAGGTATGTAGATGTGGTCAAGACAATCTGCTCCCTCACACTCAACATCTGTAGAGTCTACAGAGAATGGTTTAAACATGGCAGAATGACAGTTCTGTGGGTGAAAAGGAGGTCAAAGAATGAACGGTGACTTAAATATCCACTTGTTTTGCAGGAAGCATTTATTAGTAAGGTGTAATAATAAATTGGCCAGTGAGTGTATATCCATTTGAAGCAAAGTCTCAAACAAAATGATTAGAAGATTGTACTTGATTGTGATGATCAGAAACTGATTGAATCGATGTAATTTACTAATTTCAGCCTTAATGTGAATGTTGCTGGAGGGAAGGGATTATTGCCCAGTGCTAGGACCACATTGTAATGGCTTATGTAAAGAAAAAATAATGATGTGCAGGGATTAATAGTTATAATAAAAACTTCAATACTGCATTAGAAAGAAGAATGGTTAATTTTGAATTCTAGGTGACTTTAAATGCAATTAAAGCAGCATTTTCTGGTCTGTATACAGGATCATACCTTCGATATAACGATGACCCATATATTTGCGATCTTTTGCTAAAGCCTTTTTAAAGTCTTCTGATGACTTCAGCTCCACAAATGCTTCACCACTCGGCCTTCCCTCTTTAGAGAAGGTAAAACACACCCCATTGACTTTCCCTACAATGTCACAATCTGTAAAGAAAAATGCCAATCACAATGCATCTCTTTTTTTTTAAATAAACAGTAAACATTTGCATACATGCTCATTTGCATACCAGAGAAAAAGGAGGCCACTTCCTCTTGTGTACATGACCAAGGTAAACCACGGATCCGCACCACATATCCTTCATCATTGTGAGACATGTTTACCTTGTCAGGACTCTGTCTGAAAAATAAACATGTAAAACAAGGGCTACACCACCAAACCTAGGGTGCAGCCTAGATGGACAGCACTTTGCACCAGTAATCAACTCCCTTAACTGCTTTTTAAAAATTGTATTAGAACCTGCTCACACTAAGGACAATAACTATTATAAAAATGACATAATTCTAGAAATTACTCTTAAGTATAAAGAATAGGGGAGTCAACAAAACAACACAGAGATATCATATGCCTTTCAGATTTTTAGCTAATGAACAGTAAGATCCTGACAGCCAATCAGAATCGTCCCAGCTTTACAGAGCTCAAATATTTAAAGCTGCACTGTGTTTATAATAAGCAAGATAATATGATCATTTGTGCGGTTGCTAATGAAGTTATAATTAACTTTATAGTTATCATTCTAGGTGTAGATGTTCCTTTTTTCTGTCTTGACAAAACAGTAAAAAAAAAAGTCAATATTCTTAATTCGATCAAAATAGCATTAGCCTTTTAAGTTTTAAAACTTGATCAATGTGAAAAAAGGTGAACAAATCTATAATATACTAATGAATATCCTTAACTAAACCAAAATAGAATATTTTAGCTAGGGCTTCATGTTATTGAAAGAAATCTGACATTGTGATATTTTGCTTTTCTGCGATTAAATACAATTTCACCAGATGGCTTAAATAGCTCTTTTGGGAAGAAATCATTCAAATAGAGTGATTGAGGTGATTTTGTAAGAGTATAAACAATGTATAAAATTACAAACAAAATAATCACAATAAAACAATGAAAAAAGTCAAATAAACAATGTTTTCTGGAGACTCAAACAGTATCAATTTGCAGATTTTGTAGTTTTCATTGTATTGTATGCCCAATGCTTTAAACTCTTGAAATTTATTTAAAGCCCATGCAAATGACAAAGTCTCACTCTGTTATGGTTATACTTTGCTATGACTTTACAAACCTCATATACCTAACTGTTGTGATGATTATTAACTATCACCCCAACTCAACATTGAATATACTGTGATATGACTATTGGGGACACACACATTGGGATATTGATTAAAACGATTTATTGTGCATTCCTAGTTTTAACCACTTAATTAAATTAAAAAAATTAATTAAATTTAAAAAAATAATTAACGTTATGTCTTAACACCTTAGCACCAGCATTGTGTTACACTAGTCAATCGTTTTTACAATAATCAACAATCAAAATGAACTAAAACGTTTTATTTTATTATTTTTTAGTTTGTTTCAATTGTATCACCTCCAGCAAGTTGTCCTCCTATATGACATTATAATAACTAGTCACTACAGTATAATAACCAGTTATACATTTTGGCAGTGTACCAAACCCAGCAAGTTGCCTACTTTCTTCAGCATTGTGTTAACGTTAACTTAACTAGTAACGGTAGCTATTTACACTTTACTCGACCAGAAACCGTGTGTAATAGACTTTTTCTGTTGACAACTTGGCACTTTATTATAGCTACCCAGCATTCTGCCTACGTACCGTTAGACATCAATTTTGAGGCATCTGTTGAGTGTTCGAACACGTATCGCATTGAAAATGATGTCTAGGTAGGCAGCTTACTATGTATTGAGACACATCCGTGTTGTCAAGAGTCAGAGGCTTCGGGCAGAGTAAACAAAAAAAATCAGGAAAAAACACAAAACTGACAATTCACACTATCACAACATGTCTTGATGTAAGTCGGTTTGAAGTAACGTTAACGATATTAACTAGCATAAACCAGCTGTCACAGAGCTATCAGTTAAATTAACGTTAGTTAGCTAGCTAGACAACCACTTCCAGGTATGTCAAAAACAAGAGGCTTTTAAATTTAACACCATACACATATGGTCCACTATATGCCCCATTTAAAAGCAATTGTTTGTTGTGTCAAATTGAAAACCGAAACATGAATGTGAACTTTATGCAAAACGACTTTAACATTAGCGAGATTTTCACCTCACAGGAATCAACGAACGACAAGTTGACAGTTTCTGGGACGAAACTCGGCACTTCCGCGAGCCAAGCTACACAAAATATATTTATTTATGATCGAAAACGATCAATATATACATAAAAAAGTTTAATAAGAAGTAACATATGTACGAATATCACATTGCTCCTCACCGTCAAGCGCCTGTCCTCTCAGGTAACCCCGAACGATAGTCCAGCAGTCCAGATAGTCGCAATCTCGCGAGAACACGGTCTGTCAGTTGAGCTCGACATCGCTGCAGACGCGCAGACCGGCCTGTCGCGTGAGTAGAGGACCCAAGCGCATGTTGCACGTTTCACTGGTAGTTAATCATCAAACGTAGTCAAATGTGAACACCTAATCCCGTGTAATACCGCAATGTGGCGCATAGATATAAACGCTTCAGACTGTTGGCCTCGTGTAAAACCCCAAGAGACATAAGAAGATATCTGCAAACAAACGCAGCTGTGGGAAGACTATGAAAGCCAGTGAAGCTAACTAGAACTATAAATATTTTTCTATTTCCTTAATATGAATCTCCGAATGTCCATCAGCAGTAATGCTTCAAAATTGATCAAACACATATCTGTTACTGTTTGGAACTTTGCATTTTTGTAGTCTTTAAGCTACTATGTTAACATTTAAAACACAGTTACCTAATCATACCTCAAATCATTTACCCAACCCGTACCCTCATTTATACACAGGCCTAATACATACCAAATATAATAAATTTGCCATGATGGGTAATTTTTTAATTTGTTCTCTAATATTTATTAATAACTAGAAAACATTACTCTAAATCATACCCAATGCAGTATAATTTTAAAGATTTTACAATGAACTTATTACAGTAAAAACAAACAATCCCATTTATGTCAACACAATGGAGTTCAATGCTGAATACACTAGTCCAGCTACTCCTGCCTTTACCTTTATTTGCTCGCAGGTGTCTTGTGCATTGTCCTCTTTCTGTCAAGTATCAGTAGTTACATTTTAGAAGTCTGATTCATTTGTAATCGTAATTTCTGGTGGATTTTAATGTAGCTCAGCAATAAAACAAAGAAACAAAAGGTTACGTTAAATTTGAAATGACAGTCTTTGTCAAAGGAATTCACCCCAACTACCCTGCCATTCTTCTCTTCCCTCTCTTTTCAAATGGGATAGTGGGTTACCCCTTTAAATCAAAGGTTACCCTGGACCAACTTTGGCCCACAGTCCCTACTTTGGGCATCTCTGCTGTAAGCCAACATTGATTTTTATTTTTGGCTTTATGGTATTGAAAATATCTCCAAAATGTCTTCTTTTGTCTTCATCAGGTGAAAAGAAATTCCAAAAAGTTTGGAACTAAAATGTGAAAAAATAGTGAGTAAATGTTAATTATTGGGTGAACTACATTATTTCTTTAAGAAGCTACAAAGTAGGACGCTAAATACAATAATTACATTCTTGTGTAAAACTTTTAAGTATTAATTACTATCAAAGTTTTAATCTCAATGTTTTTAAATGAGATTTAATTAGTACCTCCGAACTAGAAAGAGAAAAACACATTGCCTGTAACTTTAAACTGGGGGTGTTACATTAATGAGGTCAAAGACTCAGTCCTCAAAGACACTCCAGCTATGACTTCCTAAATATCCTGCCGAAGTCAACTTCCACTCCAGCGTGAACAATTGTAACCAATGGAGATTCCAATCTTTACGGTTGATGCATTTACAAAAGTACCTTTCAAGGGTAATCCTGCAGCAGTTTGTCTTTTAGAGAATGTAAGTACCACAGTTTCTTTTCGTTTAAACGTGTTAGCCTGTTACAATGTCATATTAAACTGTTGACATGTGTTTTTCAATGATAGGAGCTGCAAGATGATATTAAACAGAGCATTGCTGCAGAGATGAATTTATCAGAGACGGCTTTCATCACAAAACACATCTCAGTAGACTTTTCCACAGGTATTGTGTTGTTGCTAACTGAAAAGCTCAAATAGCTCTGATTAACTTGTGTCTACTGTTGTTGGTATTATGTTTTTTAAAAGGTTCAAGGTTTGGATTACGCTGGTTTACCCCAAAAAGTGAGATTGCTCTATGTGGACATGCTACACTGGCCTCATCAGCAGTGCTCTTTTACCTTAAAAGTAAGAAACGCTTGGGGTGTAACGAATCGCAAGAGTCACAGTTCAGATCATATTACAGTTTGTGAGTCACAGATCGGGGCATTAGATCAGTGCAAAAGGGGGATGGGGTGGAATATATGGAAAAAATTTAACTAAAGTCATAAAATAAATAAAATAAATAAGCTAATTTGCAATAGCCAAATTTCCTTTCAAGTTTGTCCAATGAAGGCCATATTAGCAATGCCTCAGGGCAACTATTCAGGTATGAAAGACCAAGTACTGTGCATATGAATGGGGTAATAGTGAAAACTGCTTGACAAATTAACATTTAAATGGCACATTTTAAATCAGCTACAAAAGCTGGCATAGATTGTGTTCCTTCTACAGGAATGTGTACGTATCAGGTTGATCTGGCAAAGACACTTGGCAGTCTCAGGTTTCTATGATGCCAGAGCTCCTCAAACAGCTGACATGACACAATGACTTTACCTATTGACAACTGGCTCCTTTATATAGACTGCTGTGTGTGTTTTGCAATATCGCTTTTCATAATGCAGTGAACTGATTTAGTATATCCAAAATCTTTGGTGCAGGACAAATAACTGGCTAAAAATAAAACTTGAACAAACCGTCTTATATGTTTGTCTAATATTCATGAACAAAATATAAATTGACACTGAATATTCTTAAAGAGATAATTCACCCCAAAATTAACATTCGCTGTTAATGTACTCTCTCTCAAGTCATCTAAAATGTAACTGACATTTCATCATCAGTGGAGGATTACAAAACATCTCTCTGAAACTGTGGTCACTGGTGATTAATAAAATGCAACAGCTACTAGCAAACAGCCTGAAATGCAAGCTTCCTGTTGCATAATTATGAATATTTAAGAGCAACCTGTGAAAAATCAGCATTTCCAATTGAGATCTTGCATGCAATCATAACTTTGCTGACTGCAGAAAGCAGATTAGCACAATTAACAGTTTTGATCAATGTGTACTTATTAAGACCTGAACACTGGTGGTGCAACGACACCAGTTTAACAGTTGGGTTTTTGAAGATTCTCTCAAGATTGGGATTTTGACATAATTGTGTATGTATTTGTTCTTTTCAAGCCCTGCATGAATAGTCACTTCCTCCTAAGTAATTAGTTAAAATCTTTTATCCAGCAGAAGTTAACCAATATTACATCCACAACACATACCCCTGGAGACACTTGTTTCTAACACGAACCTCTCCTCGCTTTCAGATGAAACAATTACCTTTCTTTACAACATGAGTTTGCACATGAGTATTTTAAAGTACATCAGATCCAGCTCCTCCTCCTATAAGCTGTTTTAATGCATACACCTACCCAGCCCATAACCAAAACTTCAATTCCCAGTGACATCACTTGTAGAACAAGAGCAGCAAGGCAGAGCTAGAGCTCAAGCTTCCCCTTGCTGGAGCTCAGCTCTGCCCATGTTGAACAAGCAGGTGGCAATAAAAACTTTTCACGCCAAATGCAGTAGGTATTCATGCAAATGAGTTGCGGATGACGCTGTGGCGCAGTAGGTAGTGCTGTCGCATCACAGCAAGATGGTCGCTGGGTAGCTGGTTCGAGTCTTGGCTCAGTTGGCGTTTCTGTGTGGAGTTGGTTGCGGCTGGGAGGGCATCCGCTGCATAAAAAAAGGTGCTGGATTAGTTGGCGGTTCATTCCGCTGTGGCGAAAGCCGAAAAAAAATTAATGAATGAATGCAAATGAGTTGCATACAAAAAGAATGCCTGCTATGAACATGTGGATATTGTGTTTGGTGTGAATCCAACTGTGTTGGCCAATCAAAAAGCAAAAAATAGCACGCACTAGACATCATTAGGCCACATGACCACACTGTAAAAGTAAAAAAAAATTCTGAAAGCTTTGCTTTCAGTGACTCGATACTGCGTTTTTGTGTGGATGAATGGCCAAAATGAGTACAAAAATACTGCTGTTTTGAAAATGCTTTTGTGGACAGAGCCTGAGAGAAAGAGTTGAAAGAGAGAAAGAGCCTGAGAGAAATAAAGTTGCAGAGTGTCAGTGCAGAGCTCATTCATATTCATGATCATTCCAAATATGATCACAAGTAGCTGTTTGTTAGGGATAATTCTGTGGCAATAAAAAAATAAATTTTAAGCTGATATGTAGATCAGAGAACATAGAGAACAATTTAATTAATATTGAAATATTTAATAATGGTAACACTTTATTTTGATGGTCCATTTGAGTATAAGTAGACTGCTTAATACAATAGCTGCGTCCCAAATCGCATACTTATGCACTATTGTACGCCGTTTGGTAGTATAAATAGTGTAAGTAGTGTGTTCACACTGAAAACTCTAAAAATCATAAGTGCACTTTAATTACCCGGATGATGCACTCATTCAGCCGCCAAAATGAAGTGTGTAATGATGGACACTTCACGCACTCAACGACCGCAGGTTTGCTTACGTAGCGGAAGGGGCGGAGCTATCGGACGCACATGTTGAATAACTTTATTTATTTTGGATGGTGAGAACAAAATTCTTCTACGAGAGTGATTATAGCGCCTCCCGATGGTGAATGCGGCAATACTCACGGCAGGTATTATTTGATAATTCCGTCGTTTATTTCACTGATTTGGCAACCGTCAAACGTCCTCAGGGAAACGGTTTGAATTTCCGCTTAGTAGAAAAAACATTAGTGTGCCATTTGGGACGCCACTACATACATGTACTACCCTGTTGAGTGTGTAAGTGCATAAGTACATAGTGCATGAGTGCATAGTGTATAGTGTGCCATTTGGGACGCAGCTAATGACTGTAAAAAATATGGACGACGCGACAGCCCTTTTTCCCATTGAACGCCTTGGCAAAACGCAAAACGCCTGCTTGACGGGCACAAACTGTCGCAAAAGACTGCTGAAATTGGAGCCAGACATGCGCAGAAGGATTGTCTGATGGAGCCAGAGGAGGAGCCGCGAAAATGAGCAGAGTCGAGCTTCCAATCAAACGGTTTATGCAAAATCAACTACGCCCCCCGAACTTCTCAGCATGCGTTTGCTGTCATATCAGCACAAATGGATGTAATAACGTTAACAAATATGAGGGGTTTATATATTCAATCGCGCCAGCTCCGGGCCACAGCGCATAACTTACTCGCGGCGTCACGGGCTGATTCCGGCTCGCATGCGGCAGCGCCGGCTCGCTCGGCCACTGCATCTGGCTTGATTGACTCGGACTGGAATCGGGCAGTGAGTCCAGGCATCCGGAGTAGGTCCAGCAGAGGTAACATTAGTCAGTCTGAGCTCTAAGAGATAAGTCTCCGGCAGGCGAGAATCTAGCCGGAACTGTGTTTTGCTATCTGGGTGGCTAGGCGTGTATCAGCAAACTAATAAAGCCCGAAAAAAGCCCTGAACTTAGCGAATAAACAGTGTTCCACCAGGATCATGTATGTCAGAAACAATAGTTTACTGCTGAACTCATTTTGTCATGGTAAAATAACACAGAAATCGAATAATAACATTTCAGTCTACTTCAGTCTCCTGCCGAAGCTCAGACGCCGCGCTTTGAGAAAATGTCATTCACAGCTGTCAATCACGATGACACGCCCAGCATTAAATTACTGCTAAAAACAAACTGTTTACAAAAATGAAGATCTGCACCTATTTCAGCACAATAACCAGTGCCTTAATCGACCAGAACCATCTTTCGGGACATTTTATTGCAAGTGTAATATTTTTTTTTATTTGGGCTCAAGTCTCCTTCATTAACACGGAGGAGGCGGGCTTTATGACTTGTACTGCAGCCAGCCCCCAGGGGGCGATCTAACGGCCGAAACCTTCACTCAAACGTAGGCTTGCGGCACACTTGGCTTAATATTTGCTGGTTCTGCTCCTTCAGCAGACATTTAACTGGCTATAAGAAACTTTGCAAGTACTAGTCAGCTCACACTAACCCTAACCCCAACCTATCAGTCTACTTATAATCTAACGAGAATTAGTTGGTATTAACCATCAAAATAAAGTGTGACCTGAATAATTGCTAAATGGCACCTTTAATATCATTTGCAGCATTCATGATGAAGCAGAGCAGAACTCAACTTTGCAATTAATATGCACAATGCACCACACATTTTGTGGTGTGGTTTGTTCAATCGTGATCCGTTACACCCCTAGGAAGCACTGGTTTTCCATTAATTTTAACGGTGGTATCAGACTGTGACCTTACTAAACTCACAATATCATCACAGAAAACATCAACCCTGTTGTGGTGTTTGAGACTATGAGTGGGGAGCTTTACGTGCGTCGGCATGAAGACTCAATAATAATGGACTTCCCTTTAAACAAACCACAGCCGCAGGTATGACAAATATACATCTTGTAGACATAAAACTAATACGGTTTCTCAAAACTAAGTAGCCAGCTTTGGTCTGAACATGCTGATTTACTTCCAGGAACCACATGAAAACATGGATATTTTGAAGGTACCTGCCAAGTTTAAGCATGACAACAGTTGAGTTATTTTTTGTTGATGCTGTTCTCAGTATTTTGCATTGTCAGGCTGCTGTTGGAGATTTACCCATTGAGGACGTGTGCTACAGTCCAGCCATGAGGATACTGATGGTTCGTCTGGCTGACACATGTGACAGGTATTTGTGGATATTGATGCAATAATTAATGTCAATAGATGAACAAAAGACAAGCAGCTCAAAAAAAAAAGCTATTACAAATTGTTGGTCAAGTCAAATATTTCAAATATTTCTAGGACAACAATCAACTATTGATGCAGGTAATAGACCTGTTGTATATTGGTAATAAATGTAAAAAAATTCTTATCTAA